GGGGGGGGGGGGGGGGAGGGCTTGTTTTAAGAACATTTGGAAGTGCTGCCTGAAATTGGTTTTTATAGGAAATAGAATTAAATAGAATTAAACATTTCCTTTAGGCAGGTGAAAAAATATCTCCCTTGCTGCTGTCCAGTTCATGTTCACTTTCCTTTCTCATCTCCTTTGGTACAAAAGAAATCTTATTTCAAAACACAATTTATAAGTTGCATGGTTTTGAGCCCTCTGATGATCTGCTTTTAGAAAGTTACATTGGATAGGATACTAAGAAGGGCTCTCTTAGTAGACACCAAGAGATATATTTAGAGGCATTTGGTGCTTATGGATAGCCGTTTTTCTCACTTTGCTGAAAAGCCCGAGAAGAGATTATAAGCATTATATCAGTTTTCAGTTACTTGCATTCAATGGATATTTTTCTATATGTGGGGCACTCAGTTTTCTGCTGCTGCTGCAACAGTGGCCTCTAGAGGATTTTGCTAAGCCAACATTTCTTCTAGTAGCTTCTGAAAGTGTCTGTGCCATAATCTGGATAGTTCTAGAACCAACTAGAATGTATTGGAAGAAATATTTGTCCCATGTGAATTGGCTAGCTTCCTTTTCTACATTATTTTGTTTTCCCATGAGTAAAATAAATGGTTACTGTTTAAAATCATTTACTAGTTTTTTGTGGCCTATTTAGGCATGTAAATTTGTTTTATATTTAACCATTTATATTTATTGCTGGTTTACAACTGGTAGGGTGAATCTGCAGTTAACTGATTTGATGTATCCAAAATGAAGCATTTATAGAGTTTTAAAAAATCACACTAAAGTTAACCAACATTGTAGTAGTCAAACCTTACAAATACCAATCCAAAGTTCACCATGCTTAAGCTGTTGAATGTTAACTTACATTTTCTTGCAGTTAATTATTTTCTTTGCGTGTTTTACAATTAACTTATAGTTCTTTCCATTTGTCAATAGACTGCCCATAGATCAACTTCTCCCTCTCTTTGCTCTTCCCTCCCCCCTGCAGAAGTTTGGAGAATTCTCTGGAACAGATTGCGGGGGGGGGGGAGTTGGGGAAGAGAACAAGACACCACCCTCCAATATTGTGTAGTTAGAAATCTGCTTATAAGCTTGGATGTACACCAATTAGATTTTTTTTTACTGAATTTATTTTTAAACATTCCCATTAGTTTTTATTCCAGGAGAAATATCTCTACCAACTGCTAGATAAAATTATGCCTTGACAATAGTCTTGAAGCTTTGTTTCTGTGCTTGAGGTCCTTGATCTGTAGAACTGGGTATTAAACATTGTGTAAAAAAAAGAAAAGAAAAAATGACCATTATGCTACTTTGACTGAAATTGATATAGGAATATGATATATTTCATATATCAGCATCACTTTTTTTCAGAGCTTCTTTCCCGTAATGTATTTTGTATTCTACACAAGCAATACAATCCCTTGGATATATTTCAGGTGGCAAATTATTTTTGTTAATAATTCATGATGATTTCTGGTTTTATTTTAACAGGCAGCGCAGGCATTTAAAAAATTTCTTCCTCTTTTTGACCGAGTACTGGTTGAAAGATGTGCAGCTGAGACAGTAACTAAGGGAGGAATCATGATTCCAGAAAAATCTCAAGGAAAAGTGCTACAGGCCACTGTTGTGGCAGTTGGATCAGGCTCAAAAGGCAAGGTAAACAGGAATTTAGTCATTGTATTACATTTTTTTTCATAACTTTTCATAGGAGTTACCTTAATGCTCTAGGCAAAATCATATTTTCACCTACCCAAACATTTTGATAGTAACTCACTAGGTGGTGGTGGCCTTTTATTTAACATTTCACAAGTTAGTATTCATACTGTTTCTATTTTATTCATTATTTTAAATAAAACACAAAATCCTTGTTTTGTATGATGATTTTTTTTACTTGTATATCATCATCCTAGTACACCTTACCTTAGTTTTCACTGTGGTTTTTCCCCTTCTGATTAGGGAAAAAACTAGATTGGTCAATTCCCATGAAACAATTCAATTGTAAGTTTTATTGAACTGAACACAACATATTTCAAATTATAATGTAATATTGGATATAAAAGTTTAGGAAAGTGTGATTTAAAGTGGCTGAGAGAAATCTATCTATACAGGCACTTGGTCCATAGGATGAAGTCAACGTATAAGGCACTTCTACTTTTATTCAGTTCTTTATCGCCTTCTGGGTAAAAGAAGGCCGCTCACCTGGAGGACTGTGTTAGACTCATTTATTTCATATATTATCTTGTAGCCAAAGTCTTAAAGGAATATTGTGACACCTGGTCCAAGCCTATTTGCTGTAGGAGCCCTTCCTGTCATCCTCCCCTTGGATAAATAAACTGGATAAAAGAGCTGGTGATTGAATCAGTTCTAGGAAGGAAAAGCCAAATGTTTGGCTGTAGGGAACTGATTTTAATAAAGATTAAGGACAATTTATGTTTTTTTGAAAACAAGTGAAGCATTTAACTAACATAGCTGTCATTTGTTTTCATAAAGTTAAGAAAAAATTGCATGAAATACTTAAGCTGGCAAGACAGCACACTCTCATATACAGTATACTTTGCCACTCTTGACAAGACTGTATGGCTGTTTGCCCCCCTCCCCTTTGGTTTTTATTGGGATTGCACTTCCCAAGGCAACACTGCTGCATAATTTGTGGCTTCTCCTGGACTTGTAACTACTGCTCAGGAAGCACCCTTTCCTCAACTGGGAGGTCCTTCAGATAGTCACTCCCACCTTAGTCACTTCAAGATTCGACTGCTGCAATGCACACTACATAGGGCTGTCCTCGAAGACCATCTGGAAGTTATGGCTGGTGCAAAATACAGTGGTGTGGGCAATAATAGACATTTCTCACTATGTCCACATGTCATTGCCAGTTCATGACATGTGCATTATTTACCAGTCAGCTTCTGAGCCCACTTCAAGGTGCTGGTCATCATCTATAAAGCCCTTAATGGCTTAGGGCCTGGTTATTTGAGAGATCACCTGTCTCCAATTTTTTCTGCCTGTCCAGTACATTTGGCCAGATTGGTGTGCTCTGGACCCCTTCAGTTAAATATCTTGCAGGACCAAGGAAGTGTGCCTTCTCTGTTGCAGCACCTGCCCTCTGGAACAGTGTCCCCCTGGATATATGTATGCTTCTACCCTTCAATTGTTCTAGAAGTCTCTTAAGAATTAGCTCTGTTCCCAGGTCTGGGGTTAGGGTATTTGTAGAACCCTTGGCAATTTTTTGGATGTTACTCATGTTATTTTGTCCAGGCAGTCATGTTCCTTTTTAAAAAATCCAATAAATATTACAATTCACATTATCATGAAGTGGGGCAATTAAAAAGACAAAGAGGTCACTTCTACTCTGGATTTTTTCAATTTCATCCTTGGTTTTGTTGCCCTCATCAAATAGATAGAAACTAGGGGTGGACATTGCATTTCAGAAGCTTGACTGGACCATTTGATTTTTAAGGGACAAGTTGGATAAGGCTAGTGCATGGTGTGTAATTGTGTAACTTCTCATAGAGGAGTGGTACGGAGGCAATAGTACTGGTGGCTACCCCAGTGATATTCAAAGTCCTGTCCTAAAGATTCCCATATCCTATAAGATGTTGTTTATTACTTAATTGCCATTCGCTACTTCAGTATCAGCAAGCTTTGTGGGGGAGACACATATTTAAATGCAAAAATGTTCACTTAGATGCATTCTCAACATTTACAAACTGCCAGTGTTTGATGATTCAAAATAAAATTCATTGGGCTGGGTTTGGTTTAGAGTAGACTTCTCTCCCAAGAAAAGAAAAGAAACAAAAGCAAGCTTCTGCAACTTTTTTTCATTTGGTTCTGCAACTTTGAATTTAAAATGTATTCTCACTACAAAAACTTTTTTAGAGTACTGTAATGTTTACAGTTCATATTTTTTCCCTTTAGGATGGAAACACTCAACCAGTTAGTGTAAAAGTTGGTGAGAAGGTTCTACTACCTGAGTACGGGGGTACAAAAGTTGTATTGGATGATAAGGTTAGTTTGTACATTAAATATTCGTTCTTTCTATTTTACAACTTTTAAACAATTAATTTTAAAGTATCTTTTTAAGTTTATGCATGAGGATCACTTCTTAAAAATCATTTAAGGTTACCATGGCAAGTCTTCAGATACCTAATTGGCATGCCAAGCTTCTGTGTTCCCTGCCTGCCCATTTCTATCTGAGTAGTCCTTAGCTGCATGCATACATATTTATAAAATGCCTGTCCTTTTTCCTCATTAAAATACTGCATTGTTTTAGTTCCTGTCTTCATCTCTGTCCAGACATGAAGTCTGGAGTAAACAGACACTTTGAATGCAATCCCGTATTTAAACAGATTGACTATTTGTGGACCCAGTCATGAAATATCTTGTAATCCAGTACTTTGGGATTTAGAATATTGTATAGGTTAATCCACTTGTAGTAATGTGTAAAATCTTTGAAATTCAAATTGTTCTAGATACCTACTACTGTAAACAATTGCAGAGTAGTAATTATTCCATTTTTATAATACCTTTAGCCCTGGATACTTCACTTATTAATATGAAAGGAGCAGAGGATTAATCCTCTGTAAGCTTTTAGGCTACTTTATTTGCAGAACCAATAGTGGCAGCATAAAAAGCTTCACTCCTATGGCTTGGGTTATTGTGTTCTTTCTATAAGCTGTGTTTCAGATAAGGACACCTTGCGAAGTTGTGATGTCTCAGTGCAATTAGATGGTACTTTTAATCAGAATTGGACCCAGTAAATAGTTAGATGGAAGATCACAAGAAATACCAGAGTGTAGGTCAAACAGGAAAGATAAAAAACAAGCAAATACAAAGAAGAAAATACAAACCTTTATATATTACTACCACAAAGCAACAAGAGTATGTCCATGTTGTCCACCGTACTTTAACATAACAGGGTTTGACTGGAGGAATACTTAACCTTTTTTATCATATATACAACCCATCCATTAAAGCTATTCAGAATTAGCAACATTATGCAAAGGGAAGAAGTGAGTAAAACTGAAACCAAGCACTGAACAAGTTAAAGAAAAAGATATATGGATAAATCTAGTTTACACTAACATCATTCAGGCTTCCATACTTTTCTATCCTTGTAAATTATCTTTGCTTTCATGTCCATACACCACTTCGTCCATTATTTTTGTTCATGAGTATATGTCACCACACTGCACGTACCTCCAAGCTGGTGCATACAGGCAACAGTATGCTGGATTGCAAGGTAGTCTGTAGATTAGAGAACATACTTTGCATAGAATAGCATGAGAATGCTGGAGATAAAACTGGGCTTTGATTATATATGTAGCATAGTGGCAAAAATGGGTCCAATTAAGGGTGGAACTACCCTTGCTGTTAGTGGGGAATCCTGTATGTAATAAGAGTATAGCTAGGGCTAGTAACTTGGTCTATACTTCATATATTCTCTACCTTACTAAAAATTGTTACTTTTTTATCATTGTCTTAAAGGCATGCCTTTAAATTGGAATATTTCAGTCCAGATGAAGATTATCTTAAAGGAAATTAGTTTCCATTATCTCTCCCAATTCTTCAAAGAAATAGCAATATAGAGGACATGTCCTTGCATTTGTACAGCACTAATCTCACTATGTGTCTATAAATCAGCCTCTGCTGGAACAACTTAATTGCCTTGACTTCTGAACTAGTAACCGTTTGTCTTTCGTAAATGCTAATTTGTATTCCCTATTTGCAGGACTATTTCATATTTAGAGATGGTGATATTCTTGGAAAATACGTTGACTGAGCAGTTCGTACTCTGGCATTATCATGAAGTTGTCATTCCACAAGAAGTGCTCAAATGCTTTTGTTCCATCATGTAAATAATTATTTTCTTAATAAATGCAACATTTCTCAAATAATTCGATATTGTGACCTTGAAATAAAACTAATCTGTACAGTGAAATCACATTTCTTGCTGATGTGTTCATTATGGTGCTGCTTTGGCGGAAGTTATACTTATTAAATTTATTATGGCCACCTACTGTATTTCCAAAAGACTTTGAGCATCTTATAGTATACAGATATACATGAAACATGAAATACATGAAATATACAGAAGCATGAAACAAAATGTGGCAGCCCAGACTGAAAACAGCCTGGCTCCACAAACACTAACTCCACCTGGGGCCTGGGAAGAGAGCCAGTCATAAGGGCCTTTGGAGCCCCAGGAGAGAGGGCACAATCCATATCCTGGGGTGGATGCTATTCCAGAGGGCAGGGGCAGCGAAAGGGAAGGCACACTTCCTTGATCCTGCAAAATAACAATGTTTAATTGAGGGGACCTGCAGCATACCCATTGTGCCTGAAGGTACCAGATGGGCAGAAATGACTGGAGATAGGCAGTCCCTTAATTAACCAGGCCCTATGCCATTAAGTGATCTAAATAAGTAATAAACTCACATCAGGATAAAGGAATGAAATGGATGAACCATGAACATAGTTCTCCAAGGCTTGCAGTGGGAGGCAGTTTTTGCATTCCCTTTCTCCACAAAAGTAGTTTAGAAAAAAAGTTTCCTATTCCCCCCTTCCTCCTTAAACTACCTTTTTTCCCTGAAAAATCAACAAAAAAATAAAAGTCAATTTTAAGTCCTGATTAAAATTATATTTTAAGAATCTCACTTGTAATTCTCAGATATTTGCAATGGTATTCTTAATGCAAATCAGCAGTAAAATTTTCTTAGTAATGGCTTGTCAGAAAACGACAGACACGGGTTCGGTTATCCAGTAGACAGAAGTTTTTATTGGGCA